ATCGTGCCCTTCAGCGTGCACGTGGGTGCCGCCGTCGTGAGCTTTTCTCGCGTCGGGTGGCGAACCAGTGCGTGTGATTCCAGAGTTGCGTGTTTCTCCCACTGAGCTATGCTGCTTATGGTCATTCCTTCGCTTCCTTATAATCCAAACTAGCAACATGCCTGTGGAAATGATGCTATACGTCATGATGGCCATGGATATGAGCGCGCCGACTGGCCAACAATGAGGATTCCCTAAAAGGTTTTTCGACAACAGGGTCTTAGAGACATCACACACTTGCGGGAGCGCGCAAATGACGTTGAACGATTTCGGGGTTAACTTTTCCTCATAAGTCAGTGAGGCGTTTATTTTACCACTCTTGCTTGTGGGCGGGATTTCAAAAACCAGCTTATCGTCTGTAGGTGGAAAGACTCTGCATGTTCTTTGTATGCAAAGCGTAAAATTACTTTGTGGCGGAGTTACCCACAAGGAATCTTTCCTGCATAAGATTTTCGGTGAGGCTATTGTCTGTGGGAGCAACGAGATCAGCAGTAGTGTAAGTGCTGTCAATACCATCACGCTGGCGTTCCCTAACGATTTTACTCGCGTGACGTTTGCCTCCGATTGATCCTTGATTGCTTGGATGGCTTTAGTCTTCGCTGTTCTCTGCGGCATAGTGTCAGGAGGATCAGCGCCTGCCTTTTGCTCTCTCTGGTGAGTAGGGCCCTCTGTGGCTACATCACACGTTGGCGATGAAATTTCCAGTGGATACAGTTTGCTAAGAGGTCTATGCCATATATGCTTATTCGGCATCAGAATTTTGACCGACCGTACCATGTTGTCAGCGCTTCTGATAACTTCGATTATCTTCCCGTAGCACCAGCTACCGCGCGGTAAACTCTCTTGTTCGACGAGTACGATCTCGTTCACATGTGGCTCTCTTGGCACGAGATGTCTAGCTTGCTTTCGATGGATTACTTGCATTTCGCGCAACGCTGTGAGGTATTCGGAGTGCCACCTCTCCCAAAATTTTTCAGCTACTCTTTCGCTGTTTTCGAGTGCTTGTTTTGCTTGCGTGACTGACTGTATCAACTGTGGATCAAACGTAGGATCCTGGAGCTCATCTGGATCAAGTGATGCCAGCCCATACTTGAGAGATTTGTGGAGAAAATCCGCAGGTCTCAGGGGTATATCTTCCACGTTGGCGGAGCAAGCGACGAGAGGTCGCGTGTTGACTATCGCCTCTATTTCTGTAACAACTGTCAGGAACTCAGGATACTTCAGCTTTTTTCTCCCTACTGCTTTATTAAAGGCACGTTTAACGGTGCCAACTAGAATTCCCATGCGCCACCCATCCATGGAGCTCCAGGTGGATTAAATATCCATTGTATCCTTTGCTCAGCGCAGTAGGACATCAAGCAGCTTTCATTCCGATTTTCGTTTTCAGAATCAGGTTTGATCAGAGTTTCTATTACTCGCTGTCCCAGTTTGAAGTTAGATCCACAATCTGTGCGAACCAGTTTTGGAGTTCCGCGTCTTGCCACGAATCTTTTGAAACAGTTGAGGAAAGCTCCTGCTGACATGTCTTCTACCACCTCGAGGTGAATGGCTCTGGTCGCAAGACATGTGTAAAGGCAGACGTAACCCTTCTTGTTTTCCGTCATTTGGATCGGACCCATGAAATCGCATCCGACCTTCTCGAATGGCCTCGTCAGAATTGACCTATCGTTAGGAATTGATGGCATTTCAGGGGAACTAAAAGGTAGTCCTTGATATTTTCTGCATATTACGCAATTCCTTACGAATTTTCTGAAAGCACCTGATGGTCGAGGTATCCAGAACCGTGATCTTGCTATACACAGAGTGTGATCTTTTCCACTATGCGCGTTCTTGTTGTGAATGTCAGTCAAAACGAGCCGTGCTAATGCGGAGTCCTTGTCAACATATATTGGATTTCTCGTGTCATAGGGAAGAATGGAGTTCTGCAGACGTGACTGATTCCGTATGATCCCATCGCTATCACGGATAATTTTTTTCTGAGGAAAT